AGGGCCCATCTCCCAGGGTGTGCTCTGTCCTCCCATGTAGACTGTGGAACTGCTTGATTTTCCAATTTCCTGGGTAATTGTTGTCCTAGGGAGGGTTTGTCTGTTTCCACTGCTCCCTTCTATTCCTGAAGTCCCAATACTCCCCGCTGCACTAAATTCACAGGGAAGGACTTGTGGTTGGTAGTGTTGCAGGAAGCCTAAGGGATTCCACCTTGATCAGTGAGGAAAGCATTTTCTATATTCCTGTTGGTCATTTGTACATTGTTTTTGAAGAATTGTTTCTATACCTTATCCTGCTTAATAACTGTATTTTTTGGTTAAACATTCTTTGACTACCTTGTTTATATTATATATTCATTGTTTATGACACCCAGGAGCACATTCTTTTTTAAATTTTTTTTTATTTTTATTGATTTTTTTACAGAGAGGAAGGGAGGGAGATAGAGAGTTAGAAACATCGATGAGAGAGAAACATCGATCAGCTGCCTCCTGCACACCCCCTATTGGGGATGTGCCCGCAACCAAGGTACATGCCCTTGACCGGAATCAAACCTGGGACCCTTCAGTCCGCAGGCCGACGCTCTATTCACTGAGCTAAACCGGTTTTGGCAGGAGCACATTCTTGCATGTGTTTAATTGTGATTTGCAGATGCAGATATTGCTCCCCCACACCCGCCTTTCTACAAAATCCATGTTTTTAGGCAACCCCGCCTTCAGCAGGTCTAGTGCCATCATGTTTCTAGCAAGCCCAGATGCTTGTTACTAGTGCTTAGCAATAGAGTATTTTTAATGAAGTTATATCGAGTTTGGTTTTCAGACACGTCATTGCATTGTTATTAGCCTCCAGTATAGTATTAACATAACTTTCTTATTCCCTGGTAACTCCAACTATTTGTGTGAATTTCTATCCATATCTCAATATTCGCTTTATTGTGCTGATCAGAACTGAATCCACAATCTATTCAAGCGATTCCTTCATAGGATTTGCAAGTATTTTCTTCTGTTCTCTAGATTTCCTTTCATTTCATTTTGTTTATTCTCGTTGTGCTATGAAGAAGCTTTTTTCTTTATTTGTTGCAGTCTGGACTGTGTGTTTTTTCTTTTTTGTCTTGTGGTTGGTGTCACATTTAGAAAATCATCCAAAACTTTTTCTCTAGGTTGTCCTGAGTTATTTTAAGTTTTAGCGCTGATATTCAATTCTGTTATGCAGGTTGTGTTATATTTTATCAGTGGTGTCCAGTATTGTTGTGTTTCCATGTGAGTATTGATTTTCAGCAGCACCATTCATTGAAGAAACTATCTTTCCCTTCTTCTCTGTCTTGCAGTTTTGACAAAAATTACTTGAAAGTATGTGCTGGATTTATTTCTGTGTTTTCTGTTCTCTTCTGTTGATGATGTATGTATATATATAAAATAAATATCAAAAATATAAGTCTTTGTTTTACTATGGTTGCAAATATCAAAAAATTCCTATATCTGCCAAAACCGGTTTGGCTCAGTGGATAGAGCGTCGTTCTGCGGACTGAAGGGTCCCAGGTTCGATTCCGGTCAAGGGCATGTACCTGGGTTTCGGGCACATCCCCAGTGGGAGATGTACAGGAGGCAGCTGATCGATGTTTCTCTCCCATCGATGTTTCTAACTATCTATCTCTCTCCCTTCCTCTCTGTAAAAAATCAATAAAATATATTTTTAAAAAAATTCCTATATCTGACAGGGCACCAGAGTTAAGTTCGGGTTTTTCAAAATGCTGACAGGGCGAGCTCAAAAGTTTTGCCATTACTGTCCTAAGACAGTGGTTCTCAACCTTGGCTTTACATTAGAATCACCTGGGAATCTTTTAAAAATCCTGATTTCTGGGCCTCATCCTCCAGAAATTCCGTTTCTTTGTTACTAATGATGAGGGCCAGAAATCAGGATTTTAAAAAGATTCCCAGGTGATTCTGATGTGCAGCCAAGGTTGAGAACCACTGAATTAGCAGGTGCTTCTCATTAATTGTGAAAGACCACTGTAAAGAAAAGGAAAGAACTTTTTCTTTTCCTTAGAAATACCTCTACCGCATTTAGATCCCAAGGATTTATTGACCTGAAGCTTAACTATGTCTAGGAGTCCAAATAAAGGAACACCAGCAATATGGGGGCATTCTGTTAAGGAGGATGTGAACAATGCATTAGTCAGGAAATAAAGCACTCATTAATTTTTCTCCTCAACCGATAAGTTCTTTTTTAATTTTATTTTTTACTTTATTGATTTCTTACAGAAAGTAAGGGAAAGGGATATAGAGTTAGAAACATGAATCAGCTACCTCCTGCACACCCCCTATTGGAGATATACCCACAACCAAGGTACATGCCCTTGCCTGGAATTGAACCTGGGACCCTTCAGTCCACAGGCCACTGCTCTATCCGCTGAGCCAAACTGGTTAGGGCTAAACCAACAAGTTCTAACTCCCCAGTTTGGACAAAAATGATGGCACATACTAAACCTAGTAAGCTCAGTGATCCTGGCATGCCATGGCCAATCTTAGGAACTCAGAGGCCAAAAGTAACCATGTAAGATGGCTTGAAGTTAAAACTTTCTAAGCAAAAGTAAGCCATAGGGATAGTTATGTCCTAACCTTGTTTTTTTGTTTTGTTTTGTTTTGTTTTGTTTTGCAAAGATCGATTTGTACCTTATTGAGCCTGGCTATTGTGTTTTTGCACCTGGGATAACATACCTTTGGATTTTAGGGGAAATTTCCATTTTACAGAATCTTAAGGGCTCAATCTCCCAACACAGCAGACCACAGAGCCCCAATTATTATTGTTATTGTATTAAATATGAAGTGTTAACTATTCTATAACATGTAAAAAGAAGTTTATGTCTTTTTTTTTAACTTTTTATCCAATCCCAGAGATTTCCCTCCTTAACTCTCTCCCTTAATTTATCACCAGTGAATTTCATATAACCCCCTTATGTCTTCTCCTTAGAGTCTAATGTATAAAGAAGCTGCAAAACTGCCATTCTCCCACCTCAGTGTGTTTTCTTCTTGCTTCCTGGCAATGTCACAGGCTTGGGTCAAATAAACTGAGAAAAATTCTCCATAGGTTTGGACATTTCTTACAACAAAACCAAAAGCAATCCACTCATGTGAAGCAGGAGAACTTTACATGGAGGGGTATCAGCATTTCCAGTGACACAACTGACAGAAGACAGATTTATAAACACAAATTTAGAGCAGACCCAGAACCCACCAAGGTAGAGCTTTCCCACTGCTTTCCGAGAACAGTAGTAAATGCTCAAGTGTCAGGTGACTTTGTTTTTATTGTTTGTGTGTGTGTGCATACTCCACAGGGAAGGATGTTTTTTCTTTCTTTTTTTTATACCCTGCCCCGCCTTCCCTTCTGAGAGTCCGCATTCTGAATTCCACACTCTGAATTTACTCCATTCAACATTGTTTTTTTTGTTACTTAGATTACATATATGAGTGAGGTGAAGTGTTATTTCTCGTTCTCTGTTGACTTATTTCACTTAGCAGGATGCTCTCCAGGTCCCTCCATGCTGTGTAAAAGGGGAAGAGAAGCTTCATTTTTACTGCTGCATAGTATTCCATGGTATAAATGTACCCCTGGGGACCTGTATATTTTGGTTAAACATTCTTTTGACTATCTTGTATATGTTATATATTAATTGCTTATGATATAGAGGAAGACATATTTTTGCATGTGCTTAATTGCGCTTTGCAGATATTGCTCCCTCACACCTCCTCTTCTACCAAATCCATGTTTATGGCAACCCTGGGTTCAGCATGTTAGTGCCATCATGTTTCTAGGAAGCTCAAATGATTGTTACTAGTGCTTAGCAATAAAGTATTTTTAATGATGTTCATTAGAGTTTGCTTTTGATACAGAATCGTGGCATTGTTATTTGCCTGCACTATGGTATTACACACCTTTATTATTCCCTGGGAACTCTACCTATTTGTATGAATTTCTGTCTATATAGAAATATTCGCTTTATTGTGCTGATCAGAACTGAATCTACTCTCTCCAAGGGATTCCTTCATAGGATTTGCAAGTATTTTCTTCTGTTCTCTAGATTTCCTTTCATTTCCTTTTGTTTAATGCTGTTGTTCTGTGAAGTTTTTCTTTATTTGTTGCAATCTGGACTGTTTATGTTTTCTATTTTGTCTGGTAGTTGGTGTCACATTCAGAAAATTCGGTCCTAAACAAACCTCCAAAACTTACTCTCTAGGTTGTCCTGAGGAGTTTTACGTTTTAGCGCTGATATTTAATTCGCTCATGCAGTTTGAGTTACATTTTATCAGTGGTGTCCAGTATTGTTGTTTTTACATATGAGTATTAATTTTTCCCAGCACCTTTCATTGCAGAAACTATCTTTCCCTTCTTCTGTGTCTTGCAGTTTTGACAAAGATGACTTGAAAGTATGTGCCTGGGTTTATTTCTGTGTTTTCTGTTCTGTTGATGTATGTGTCTGTGTT